AAATGTAGGCTATACAAATATTTCTCCCGGCCCGGGAATCGAACCTTGGATCTCTGTGTGGCAGTCCAGCATGGTAACCGTTCAGCCATGGAGGCAGTTTAATAGTTATGTGCTGTAATACATTATAAAAATTACCTCTTAATCCAATTAACCCGCCAGTAACACCACCAGCATATGTTCCATTTTTCCAATCGCTTTTTCCCCTAGCCGATTCAATACAACACTCAACTCCAGAGAACATAGCTCCTAAAATAGCAAAGTTCTTAGCGTAACTGAGCATAGAAGTTTTCATTTCACGTAGGATTTCTCTTGCAGTCTGATTCTGCTGTGCCATTGGGTCGGTGACATTTGGCATTAGGGATGATGTGAATAAACCTACGGCTGCTCCAAGACCATAACCTGTAATGATTTTTAAATAAAAACGTAAATTTAATATGACATTCAAAGTTACCTAAACATACTTTTTTTCACTAGTGTAGGAAGCTTCTATACCTTCTACACCTTTGCAAAAGGTATCTTCTAAAAAGACAGTTTATCTTCTCCATGTAATTGCTAACAATACTTTTGCAGGGGTTTAGAATATGCCAATAATGGTTTTTGGATTATCTTTGCAAGCAATATTTTATAACTATTATTATATTCACTACTAGTTGAATTCAGTATTACATATGTTAATTCCATTTGTAGGTATTAAGGAATGCAAACAAATTATAATCAGTTATTTATAAAGCAATCGCCCAGAGAGGTTAAACTGTTTTTTTAGAAGATACCTTTTGCAAAGACATTTCATTATTTTTTTAAAATAACTTTTTATAGAAGCTTCCTAAAATAGTGAGAAAAAAAAATGTTTAGGTAGAAATTAGGTATTAAATATAAAAATATAAAAAAGTAAATTATATATACTACTAGAACCATGAAAAACGTAAAGTGGTCCAGCCAACCAGACGTCAGAATGGCCGGCCACTTTATTTCTTTAACATTTCCGTTAGCGCAACGGTAGAAAATTGTCAATAAAGGTACTAAATACTTGAAAATAGGTAGTAAATAATGAACCCTAGGCTAACACTTACCTATTACACAGCTGGTCAATGACTTGAATGGACAACTCTCAACAGTGGATTCAATCATTTTCTCCTCATTAGTTTTAATAATAACAGGCCCGAGAATCCTCGGTATTATAACATTTTCTCTATATCTGTAAATGTTTCCAACCAAATATTTTGCAAGAGAGTCGTAATCGTCCGTTTCGGCAAATTTGAGCAAGTTTGGATCTGTGGGTGGTGACTTAGCATAGTCTGCCATTGTTTGATACGGATTTTGAACAGTAATAGTAGTCGTAGTATCTACGAAAATGATTAATTTCAATTCGATTTCTTATTTTAATATAAATATAACCTCAAAGACTATGACAACTTTTTTTTTTTTTTTTTGTATTTGGCTTCTGTCCCACTGTGGACAATTCTGCCAATGTCCGGGTTGAACGATACACGGTAAAATCAAGATTCACTCAAACGACGATAATCGGTTGCACCATCCTATGGACAAAGACAAAACACGGGGTTATTTGACTAACTACTTTGGATAAAAAGCGTAAACACATACTGTGCACATAGTAAATGTTATAACCGTATGTTATTTTGTTCAATATATTTAAATAGAATAAATAGTAGAGGAGGTTGAGGTTTTAGGGGAGAAAGGATAGATGATAGTTGAGATTGTTCTTTTGCTGGCCTCGCGGAACTCGAAAAATCAAGGTTTCTTGGATATTACTGGTTGAAGACCAGCATAATATTTGCCTTTTTGACTGCTAGAAGACGACCAGACCCCTAGACACACAAGTCGTGCACAAGAAAACCATAGACCAATATTAAAATGTATATATGCAATGAAATTCGAGATAACAAATGTACACAAAGTTACATTACAAAAAAAATTCACTAATCGCGCAAATGTGAAATGGTCTAGCTTAGACATGGGGAATAGCGTTACATTTCTATCGCCGTGACTCACAGACTTATTTTATAAGTCTGTGCCGACTGTCGTCCGGTTCCAAAAAAAAATCACGGTGATAAATCACCGTGATTTTGTCACGACTGTTCCTTCCGTGACCTTGTCACGCCTATATCTTACATCACAATATACGGTTTTAACTAGCGGCTTCCTTCTAATACTTATAGCCGTTTTTTTATGGAAGGATTTAAGTTTTTACTCCTTTTCTAATAAGGTTCAATTACATTCAAAAAGTTGATTTTGTATTTAATGTAATTTTGTTTGTTACTTCTTTAATGCGAAACGTTGGATTGTCAAAAATAGCAATAAAGTGTAATGTAATTATATTTCTAGTAGAATACACAAAGTAGATTATACATAAATATAAAATACCAACTCTTCCTATAACAAAATAAATATACAAAAATATTTTACTTTGTTAATAAATAGGTTTATAGTAACTGCTGCAGATTTTTTTCATTCGCCCTTTCTAGTAGTAATAAGCACCTACGACCCTTGTGAGAGAGCAAAGAAAGTCATCCTATCTCACTCACTCCCATCGCCGAAATGGACCGGTTTGAAGAGAACTACGAGTGGCGCGCTCAGTTACCACGGAACGGAGATCGCGCATTGTATCAAATACGAATGTCGTGATGTGAGTGACGTGGATAGCTATTGGTACGGAGGAACACCTATGTGACTTTGGAACGAGTCACGGTGGTTCTGTTTGACGGCGAATCATCGTGACGTTATTTATCACCCACCTCTAGTCTAGCTCTGTACAAGGAAAGATGGAAAAGTACATAGTCACTTGCGTAAGAAAATCCAAGGTGTGAAGCTTGACGTGCATATCAAAACATTATTTTATACACCTAATAATAGCACAAGGTCATAAAAACTGATTCTCTCGATTTTGTATCCATAAACCAATATTTCGTGACAATGACAACATTGCTGCCCTTTTTGTTTAACGGTTTTCGATGACGTAACATAAAGTATTATTGTTACAATTATTAAATAAGTATTTTATATAAACTACAGTAATTATTAAATTTCTTAATAAAATATAAATAAAAGAAATAAATAGATCCATTTAAACATGTTGATTGCAATAAAATACACTAAAATCTAGGACATAAAGTTATTTAAAAAAGTTTTTTAAGCATATATTTTCCATAATAATTATTACTTGTTACATCAAGACTAGAACCTATTGATAAACCACTTGAAAAAAATATCTATCATGATGATTTATTGTTTAATTGTTTGTTTACATTTTTTATCTCCAGTTCTATCTCAGAGTTTTGACCACAACAAGGTAATTAGTTAAACAATTTCAAAATCTACTTACTGAGTACAATAGATAATTTTTTTTCTCTATTCACTAATGGCTGACCCTACACCAACTAGTAATATCACATAATTTATGTACTTCTTATCGTTACAATATCGCAAGTCATTTCCTGTATAAATAAGCAAATTTAAATAAAGGCCACCAGGGGCGCAACCCTATGTTTTATTTATATAAAAAGGCTCGAAAATGCCCTGTGTTTTAATAGTGTGCCTCAAATGTGCTTCAAAGAATCAGATTTGGTCACAAAGAAAGAAAACTTACAAAATAACAAAATAATAAGTGATAATTCTTAAACAAACTTATTCATACGTGAATAGCACTTTGATATTTTTTTCACTTAACTTGGAGTATATTTCTTTTAATAAAAAAATATTTGTTACTTCACGCATTTTACCAGTATTTTTCAAGCGATGTTACCAACAATGCGGGGTCAGTGTTGGGTCCATGGCGCTCAACTGGCACCCCATTTTTGTCAATGATAAATTTAGTGAAGTTCCACTTGATGAAATTGCCCAGGGTACCACCTTGCTTGTGCTGGTACAGACAAAGACATAATTATACATTTGCTACTCATAGATAAAAAAATTTGTTCATGATGATGAATGATTGATGAGTTGTAAAAATATTATGAGAGGTCATTGAGAGGTCTAGGTTTTTCCTGTCATTGTCACATATTAATTCAACCAAAACTAATGCCACAATTTCAGGAAAAACTGTAACATAAAAAGCATACCTTTAAAAACCTCCACAGTGGTGCAGCATTATCACCATTGACATCAATCTTTTCAAACAGGTCGAACTTGACATTCTTTTTAGCGGCAAAACTGCAGATTTCTTCAGAGTCACCTGGCTCCTCGCCTGCAAACTGATTGCAAGGGAACGCTAAGATGCGCAGGCCTTGTAAGAAAAAATAAAAATTTAGTAAATTTATTAAAAACTATTTCAGGCTTTCTTGAATAAAAGCATGGTACTTATTTAAAAAACAAAAATAATTTCAATATATATAGATATATAGAATGAATGAAATCTAGGTCCACATTTTGTTTTTTTTATATTTCAATGTTTAATATGTAATAGTACAAATGAATATAATAGTATATAGATAACTATAACCCCAAAACCTGACTTCACACAGTAAAATCACAAAGTAAAAGTAATTTCCAGGTTAGTTTTATCTACATAATTTTGGTGGAATTTTTATTATTTAAATATTATTGTGAAGCATTATTAAAAATTCGATTATATTAACCTGAAATATTATTTAATATTTCAGATCAGTATACTCGAATATTTAAATAATAAACATTGACACCGAAATTAGGTACAGAAAACGAACTTGAAAATTACCCACTTAATAATAGAGAAATCTTGTAATGTAAATTCTGTTAAGCTCACCTTTGCTCTCTGCATATTGCTCATACAACTCATTGAGAGACTTGTAATTGCTCACGGTGAGCCCACACTGCGACGCAACATTCACGATGATACACACATGACCTGTGAAAACATCAAGTTTCACGTCTTCTCCTTTGATGTTCTTGACAGTAAACTCATGAATCGACGTTGCCTTGGTGTAGTCTGGATTGTCTGCCATTTTTTAGCTTCGTTAATCGAAAAAACTAGAGGGATTAAGAGAGGTACCTACTGCTGGTATTCGCTAGTTTCACAAATTTTTTTTTTTGTTTAATTGTCTGCAATATACTTATTTATAATATACACATTGTTTGTTCCGAAAACATTCCGTATCTTCTTTTTATCATTTGTGCTTATTTGACTTGACACTTGACGACACAATCAGTATGTTATATTATTTTGTGGACACAATTACAATCACCTTACTACGTAGAGTCTCTCTCTACGTCTTTCTATTATTATTATTTATTTGTTGAGCATTGGCTATAGAGCCATCAGCTTAAACAAGCAACAAACAATTATTAAGAAACTCAAAACGTAATAATAATTGAACTAAAAATTAATTTGTGAAAAAACAGTAACTACAAAAACTCGCCATTTTTAACCGACTTTAAAAAAGGAGGAGGTTCTCAATTCGACTGTATGTTCTTTTTTTGGATGTATGTTACGCGATAACTCCGATATTTGTGAACCGATTTTCATGATTCTTTTTTTGTTGGAAAGGGGGTACTTCCATAGTGGTCCCATTTCATTTTGAAGAAAATCATCCACCTCGAAGGGTGGAAGTTCACGCATGAAGATTCATTTTTATAAATAGCGCCTAACTTAAATTTAGGAGCAATTAACTTAAAATAAACTTTAATGGTTGATTTTGCTATTTCTCCAATTCAAGGCGTTTTTCTCTCGATATACTTTGAGTAGTGAGAACCGATTTTTATTATCTCCAGTGTCAAGTCCTGTATAGTGGCGAACTAGGGAATATTTCAAAAAAACTTAGCAAATAGACGTAATTCCAAGTACTTTTGAGGTCGGTTTTTTTAGTGCTCTGTACTGAGATTATCGACTATCATCTTTCTAGTTTCTATGTGTATTTCGTGTTTTGATAAAAATTAAAAAAATGCAAAAAAAAAAGGAAAATGCTTAGAGGATGGAAAAAAATAAAGGGAAAATGAGAAAAAAAACGGTTTTTTCTGTCAAACTGTCAATGTCAACAATTTTGAAACGCTCTAGACTTTTTCCATCCTCTAAGCTCCAGACAATATTAGAATATTATTCAAAAAAATATTTCCTAGAAATACCTCCAATTAAAAAAAATATATATTTATTACTACTTTTTCTAAATATTTCTAAATTATGTTTCGAATATTTTTCCATTTTGTTTTTTCAACATGAGAAATCTTTACCATGCACCATTTCAAAAATTAAAAAAAAAATGTATCGTATAAATTAATATATGTACGAGTCAAAGTTTGACATTTATTGTCAGTCAGTCAGTTGCACGTGGTATTTGTTTTGTTGCCGGTTTTCACTTTTTTTTATTGTAAACTTGTAATTTATGTCTTCAATTATTTAATTATTGGAATCAATTCCAAACAATTCCACGATGTCCGATACATCTGAGGACGAAGATATGTCTAAATTTAAAGAAGCGGTTGATGACACGTTCACTAAAATGCTAGACAAATCTCGGGGTATTTTAAAACCATCACCTAAAGGTGATCTAAAATTTGTTATTTTCTCAAGTTTGTCAATTATTCGACTGGTTTGCATGTTGATATTAGTGTCTCTAGGCTTTTACTGATACGCAATCTACAATTTTGTTGTGTTTCAAAAAGTTTTATTTAAAAATATGAAGAAATTTTTTAGACCCAGAAACACCAAAATCTGAGAGGTACTTGTATGTCGCTAGTCATTATAATGATGTAAAGGTGCCAGAACAGCTACAGAGACAAATTGGGGCCAAAGTTTCAAATGTAATTGATAAAAGTATTGAATTTGTTGATATTCGACAGAATGGAATGAAGTAAGTTTTTGTTTATAATTGTTTATTTCATAATGAAGATTTTTTATTTATTGGGTTTCTTGAACATTCAAAAATTGAGTATGTTTGATATTTTGATATTAGAATTAATACATCTGTATCAAACATACTGAAAGTTACTCTTATCTTATAAAGATAGGCAAATATCGACTCAATTTCGTAAATTTATTGTACACATTCTTAAGATTGCTGACTCAATTTTTGTATTAATAATAAAAACTATAATAATGTAGTATTTAAAAAAAAAACAAGTATATAGATACTGGAAAGGTAAAATGTCTAAGGTGCATTTGAAAAATCAGGATAGTAATTTAAAGTAATTTTTTTAAGAAAATTACTTTATCAACATGAATATCATTTTAGTGAAACATTACAATAGTCAATAAATAAATATTAAAATAAAAACACTTTTACATGCCATAAGAAAAAATTCCTTCATTCTTATGAAAGGTTTTTGTAACTCATACAAGGCACACGTCAAATATTGAGCAGTGAGGAAATAGAGAGTGCAGAGTCTGCCATGAGGTGGACGAAACTCCTGTGCATGTCCTCACCCACACTGATGAGCATACAAAATTATATGCTGCCCATATTGGGCAGGCGTAGACCGCAACCCGAGGACATCAAAACTATCAGAGCCAGGAAAGTCCTTAATGCTGTTGGCCTTGCCTCTGAACTGTAATTAGTGGTGATCACATTAGATAAGTTTATGGTCGCATGTGATGAGGGGCCTTGAATGAAGCCACTCTAATAATAATAGTAATACTCATACAAATGAATGAATCATACCACCAAATCAGGGCCTTAGTGTGAAACACACAGAAAGCGTTTCGGGGTCTGGCGCGACTCGGGCGCGTGTCGGGTGCGTTCGGGATGGTTCGCGATCGCGGCGGGTGGGACGGCACACGCACCTGCGGAAATACACGGAATCGGACCTGCACCCGCTCTCTGTGTGTTTCACGCTTTACTAACTTGCCAACCTGTTTATAAAAACATTTTCAGAAAACAAAAGGTAAAGGGTGGTGTAAAGCTGTTTAAGGATTCGGAGGGCTATCTATCATGTGAAGGCCCTATAGATACATACACGGAAGGACATAATCGGGAGTCAAAGAAAAGGAAGCAATTGAAAAAAAAACATATTGAGGCTGATGATCTAGATGAATGTGGTATGTAAGAAATAGGTACTTAACTAGTGTTTTTATTTATTTTTAAGCTAATGTCCCATCATTTACAACCTTCAGTGCAATCACACAAAATTCTTGATGATAAAAGTAAATGCAAAATGAATGGTATTTTACTTTGAATTATAATATTCTCATTAGAGTGTCTTTGATTATAATAATTGTTCAGTTGTCAAAGGATTATATTTGGAATAATAATAATAATAATATCCTTTATTGCTGATAGAATTCAAATGTTACAATATAATTCATTAGTAGAAAATACAATTCATTATTTAAAAAATGTTAAAATATCTTAAACCTAGATTAATACTAGACATTAATAATAGACATAAATAACCAATTAAAATGTATACATAAATAATTTCATGATTAACAATTAATCATAAATTAGTCATCATCAGCTTGTCTTTTGACATGGGCCTCCACCAGAGACTTCCAGTTTTCCCAGTCCCGTGCCTGTTGTTGCCAAAATGGGCCTGCCACCAATTTTAAAACATCTTTTTCTCTACCTTCCCTGTCTGCATTTACCTTCTCTTGGGTACCACTCTGTTACAGCTCTGGTCCGTTTTTTAGTCTCCCTCATGATATGTCCAGCGTAACCCCACTTCAATTTCCTCATGTACTTCTTATCATCCTGTACCATTGTTCTACGTACAGTTCTCTACATTCTTGGAACACTATTAAACAAATATATAACATCTCCTTGTGAAAGAGTTTGTCCAGGGAAGTACTGCACCTTACCTATTTCTGCCACCAAGCAGTAATGTCAGCATTACTGCATTCTGGTTTTGAAGGGTAAGGGTGCTGGTGAAATTACAGGCACATGGAATTTATCAAATTATGTCTCAGGGTGGATGAGCACTGTGGATAGGTGTGTGTGTGTTCGTCCCGTCACCTAATGCTATAAAAAAAAATCTTTTTTATCTGTACATGTTTAGGCATTCTCTTGTGTTGTATTTTTAAAATTTTATTTTGAATTATATCTGAATATTGTCTTTGCTTACTCCAGTGGAGACAAGCGTGATGTATGTAAGTATGTAAAATGGTTATAATTATGTTTTAGATAAAATTAAATCAGTGTCTGTCAGCGGGGATTATGTTATGTCCAAACAAGATATCAAGTACTGGAAGTCAAGAAGAAAAGAGAAAGTTTTTAAATATAAAGCGAATGGAAAAAGTAAATTATTATTGGCTACGGAATAAAATTATTTGTAACATGATGTTGCTTTTTATTTACGTCAATTATTGCCTTGTGTGAGACGACTCCATCTATCACAATTTTTATTATTTTTCTCATATTCATAATATTAGATGTTTGATAGTTTACAATTCACATACTGTCAGTTTAATTTTACTTTACACCGAAAAATAATGTAACTAAATTTTGTGACACAAAATGTTTGTAATATACATGTATAAATAGAGCATACCGAACTTTGTTAATTGTGTAATGCAGTAGACGTAAAATAGGGTCACGCGTTTTTCGGTGAATTCTCGAGCGTTCTCGGAAAAGCCCGCGGCTTTAAAAGTTTTTTTTATGATAATAAGGGACGGGACGAACAAGTCGTGGGTAGCGATAACAGTGTCACTTAGGGCCGTATTCGAGAACTCTACTCAATGCTCAAGTCAGGATCTGAGTATGATTTCAAGCACTGGAAATACGACCCTAATGGCAGGGAATTGAGTATGATTTCGAGTGCTTTAAACCATACTCAAATCCTGCTTGAGCATTGAGTAGAGTTCTAGAATACGACCCTTAGAGCATTAAATAGCAAATGTCTGAGGGCCACTGCGCCCGTCACACTGATACAAAGTTGATAAGTCCCATGTGCCTGTAATTTCACCAGCACCCATAGGTACCATTCAAAACCGGAACGCAGAAATATTCACGTTGTTGCTTGGCAGCAGAAATGGGTATGGTTACTAAGGCTCTATTGCTACTATAAAGCGTGAAACACACAGGGAGCGCGTGCGGGTCGGGTCGGGACAGCGGCGGGTGTAATTCCGTGTGGATGAGTGATTTAAGTACACTGCATAAAATTGCCAATGGACTGTCAGACGGTGGCTTACTAGAGATGTTGCTGCTCAGAGGTCCGACTCGGTCTATGCGAAATCAACGATTATGCACAATACCTCTTACAAAAAATAATTTATCACAAAACAACCCTCTGTATGGGATGTATGGATATTACAACGAAATATGTTCTGATTGCGATATTTTTAATTGCGGTGTCCCTAATTTTATATTGGTCACTTCTTGCATTGTTGTAAGGTGAATAATTTATTCTTTTTGTTTTGTTTTTTTTTTGTATAATTAATTTAGTGTCCTTTAAGTACTTTTGAGCACAGTTATAATTGGGCACAGATTTTTAAGTGTTTTTTTCTATATTGTTTGTGTCTGGTGTCTGTTATTGTGCCATACGTAAAAGAATAAAATAAAATATGGATGACAATACACCGAGCGCGGGCGCGTGAGCTCGTCTTGCGCGGGTGGAACAGAGAGCGGGTGTTGGTCGGGTGTGGGTCGGGCGCGGGTCGGGTCGGGACCGCGGCGGGTCTAAATCCTGCATTGCCGTCCGCCGCGTAATGCAAGATTGTGAATATCCGAAGCGTGCAATCCATCCTGCAATCCTGCAATTCGTCTTGCGAGACTCCAAACGTGGGCCATATGCAGGATAGTGTGTGAGCAGTCTCTTGCCTGCGCGGCGGATTGCCATGCAGGTAGTGAATGGCCCGTTTAATTCCGTGTATTTATATTACGACGACACATCGAGCGCGCCCGCGCTCCTGCCTGCACCCGCTCTCTTTTGTGTTTTACGCTTTAGTTTGCTGGTGTGTAAGGGTGCTGGTGAAATTACAGGCACTTGGGGCTAGTCAACTTATGTCTCAGGGTGACACAGTGGTAGTGCCCCTCAGATCTTTGGGATTTAAAACTCTGAGTGGCAATGCAACTGTCATGGATAGACGTGTCGCAACGCAAGATATTACCAGGCCAACTACTTGTTCGTCCCGTCATTTGGTATTATAAAAGAAAGCCTCCGTATCAAATCTAGGTAACATAAGTTAATTTATATAAAGTTCACTATGTTATGTACAATTCATTACAAAAATTCGTTACCATTCCGTTAAAGAGTTAATGTGCAGAAATTTCGTGGAAATAAAATATATATATACAATTGACTCATTTGTAACAACTCTATTCTGTCTTATTTATGTTGTTTGCTTTAGGTCCGAACTGGCATTGGTGCCATCCGGTGTACCCCTGGATTCTCTTATAGGACCCCTATTTTTTCTCATGTTCGTCAATGATATAGCTTTCTCATTAACTTTCAAATTTAAAATGTACGCTGGTGACATGAACGTGCCCAGTTACTGCAAGATGATCTTGACAGAGTCCATCAATAGTGTTGTGTTAACTGTATGGTCATAAATGTAAGTAAATGCTACCACATTAAAGTCACCAGACGCCGATGGCCATAAATGCAAATAAATGCTACTACATTATGGTTATCAGATGCCGGAGGCCTTTAGCTGTCACTTATTTTATAAACCGTGCACCCTTAAAGGCGGTTTCCCATGGCCCGTTTTTCCTCGCGCCACCACGCGCCACCAATCAAACCACAAATGCGCCGTGAGAAGAAGTCCTCCCGAACGCGCGCATGGTTGAGCGTATTCGGGTGTATATCAAGAGCTACCATTCGAAAATATCATACGAAGAACGCATAGCTACTTCTGCAATCACTTTTATATTATGCAATGGTACACAACGCGGCAACGTACTAAAAAGAGCAAAAGAAACGCCTCTGGTAGATGTCATTATTCAACAACAGCAAGTCGAGGTAAATTGTTAAGATTTTATTGAATTGAACATACGTAGTTTGTTTTACGTATTCACGCTATAGGTTCTCCTAGTTATCGACATATAGCGGATCCAAAAAACGGGCCACCAGTGGCCAACACGCGCGCGTTCGGGCGGCCTATTCCTCACGGCGCGGCGAAAAACGGGCCGTGTGAAGCCGCTTTAATGGAGGTTGACAGTATTCCTTAGAGATAGTCTAAGCAGTATTCGAGACTTGGGTGTCGTCTTTTTTTTTCATCAAGTGACAGTAGGTACTTTATAAGGTGGCAGTGCTTCCCTGGATGAACTCTTTCACACTCTACTGCTACTACGTCATGGACACTACCCTAAGTTTTTGTAAGCAAATTGACTCAATCATTAGCAAAGCCTCAAAGCTGACCGGTTTTGTGTCAAGACAAATGAAAATATTTAATGACTTTATCTAATTTCATTTATTACAATGTAATACGCAGTGTTTTAGACTATTATCAATATATAAATATCAAATATAATATAAATGTAATAAATATATGCTGGTAGATCAAAAAGTCAGTACCTACATGAAACGTAAAGTAAAAGTAAAAAGCTGCCGTTTGTGCATGTCTATATTTATGTAGAATATATTATGTAGCATAATTGTATAGAATAACTTTATTTTTTGTTATTATTATTATTTTCATCTCATTGTTATTATTATTATTTTAATTTCATTATTATTAGCATTTTTATCAATAATTTTATCTTCAATTGATGTTTGTTTGCAATTTGTGTGTGTGATCGACCACGTAGCACTGCCATGGCCGGGTCGGACTGAAAATCAGGGTTGAAATGATTGCAAACTGATTTCAACATTTTCCTGAGCTCGTGTCCGTCACACATATTATTCCTATTATGATTTTTTTTCTATAACTTATAATTATTCGAACACTTACAGAAAATTCCTTCGATCCGGCCGGATTTAAATCGGCTCCTTCTAGCAAACCGTGTCACATCCTATGCTAACTACGCCACGGAATGAACCAGCGTACCTCACTAATTTTTCTATGTGCTTGGTAGTCGGATCTTTGTTTGGTTTTTAATGGCTTATTTTGCCGTGGCGCCATTATTGAAAAATCTATGAAAGCGTCACCCAGTTAGATACCTTTACAGCTACCAGACCTGGATAGAGATTGTTTAAATAACAATTAAGACAATATATAAATAAATTAAGGTAATTATAACAAACTAGTGGAGTAATTTCACAAAAAATTATTGAATATCTATTCAATGCAAATTATATAATTATTACTTTTAATTATTACAGTTAATTGTATAAAAAATTTATAATTTTCTCATCTCTGTGAATTATTGTTTTTTTCTTATGTGTGTGAAAATAAATAGTTTAAAAAGGTTTGAAAGTATTCAAAAACGCTTCCTCTATCATTTCACATACAATAATTTTGTGTAATAGCTATTTTCGTACGAGCTACGTCTCACTTTAACATGAGCTCATTGCAAAAACACCGAAAAGCGTTTGATCTGATGTTTTTATTGAAAATTATTCATGGTATTTACAGATCAAATAAATACTTCCAAGTTGGTATAATAGCCGCACCCGACGTTCTTCTACGTCTGCAAAATCGTGAAACATTTTCGCTCCCTAGTTGTAAAACTAACCTCGGTAAACACTGTCCACTTTATCGCATGTGCTCCTATTACAATGGTATCCCATCCGATTTTGACATTATCTCTGGTTCTATGGTTTCAGCTAGGAACTCAATTAGAAAGTATCTTTCATGTACTACACGACAGATTTTCTTGAGTGTTCTTAAAATATTAGATCCAATCTAGCCCGTCTATCGCTTCTTAGAAAAGGTTGAAAGCGCGCTTTCTTGCTGAACTCCCTTTGTAATCGTCTTATTGTATTTTTTTTACATACTTGTTTATGTATATGTGTACCTTTTTTAAATTTATTTATCTTTTAAAACGTAATACACAACAATGTTTCTTGTCGCATTTTAAACCACTAAGGTTCGTAGTAATGCGAACTGTATCCAGACAATACATATGCTCAATTTGCTAACAGAAAAGTTTTGCTAATATTTAAGCAATTTGCATAAAATAATCTATCATTAACCTATGTGTTAGATTACACTATAAACATATTGATGCTGTTTATTATGATTCATTATAATAGTTATGTAAGTAATGGTATTTTTATTTATGTAGTTTAATATATTTTATTTCTTCCGCATTCTCTCTTGCACGCTATTGCCCGCTTATAACCTTAGATCTCCGTGCCCTGGTTTGTCTGGAAGAGATATCTTTTAGAGATAAGTACACCTTGCTTACTTTCTGTTAATCTAATATTTCTGTTGTATTTATTTGGTGCAATAAAGAATATATCCGTACCTGAGAAGCATTACACTGTAAGTGCTATTTTTGTAATTTTACAGGGGACGCTATTTTGTGTGGAAATGCAGCACGTATAACATTTAGAATGGGTTGAAATAAAACTAATTGAGTTTAAATAACATTTCGAGTTACCCTAATTGGCGTAGGTACAAACTGCTTTTCGACAAAAATCGCTTCCCTCGTAAAATTTCAAAAATAACTATATAAATCTGAATATATTGATCCAGTTCTGTGAACCGAATAAAAAAAATTGTTAGTAATTTGGTCTCTGTGGATCATTGTCATATAGTTCGATTAATTTATTTTTTATTAATCTAGTAGAATACAAGTTAATCTATGTATTGTGTGTTTCAATTTCAGGTCATTTTAATTGTTCTATATTTTTTAAATATATAAATTAGATAAGATATTTATTTAAATAAATATCATGTTTTATTACCATGATGTTCATATTTTTGTGGACTTATGCCCACTAGTCTAGTGTTATTATTGGAACAAAGCTCGAAGAAACAAAGAAAAGTTCCTTCGATACGGCTGGATTCGAACCAGCATCTTTTCGCCAGACCGGGGCTAACTGCTTCTTCAACTGAGCTACGGAACGAATCAGTAGACCTCCCGAATTTTGTTTTTGGTTTAAACGGCTTTTGTTAGGCGAGAGTCTGGTAAATAGATGCTGGTTCAAATTGTTTGAAAGGAATGCAGGTATAAGAAGGAGTTGGACTGGCTCTACTAGCTCATTTAAGAAGGAGTGTTGAAGGAGGTTAAATGTTTTTAATATAGCAAACCTTTGTAGTATGTGCGTTCCTTTGTAGTTCAAATTTAAATATATTTTCATGTTTCTATGTCATAGTTTTTTCTATGACAATATACTTTTGACTGCAGTCATACTGCAGTCGTCAATAAATGTGTTTTTACATAATTTACTTAGATCTATTTTATTGTTTCTAATCCTTAGATCTCTGTGAGGTGTTCATAAAATCTGGATTTCCCCACAAATTCAAATCCAACCGGATCGAAGGAGTTTTTCTTTGTTTGTTCAATCTTTGTATCAACAATAGACAAGACTTAGAATAATAACGCATAGACATTTTTAATGATACAACAAGCTTCCAAAACATTAAACGTTTATTTACAAAGTTCTTAAATTCATAAATAAATATGTACAAAATCATTATCACATCAATCACTGCTTAGAAATCAAATTGTAATGTGTACAAAAACATATTTTAGTAAGTAAATTGTATATAACTATTGAACACAATCAAACTATCAAGTTTTCTCCTGCTCTTATTAATTTGTCTCAAGCAAGTTTTTTTTTTCACAAAGACCCGACGACGAAGGTCTACATATATTGAGGCGAACCTAATTCGTAACGAACCCCTCGATATCATTTGCAGGAACCACAAGCCGTAACCGTTAAACCGTTAGTATGGATGTTTTAGCAAAATTGAACACAAAACCCACGTCATAAGCTAGTTCGACTATGTTTTTTGTGTGTATATTACGCGAAGACATTTTGTAAACCAATTTCAAAGATTCTGTTTTTGTCGCAACGCGGGTACCTCATTAATGGTCCTACTCAAATTTGACGAAATTTTTTCTCCTCTAAGGGTGGAAAATTAGACGATGAATCTGGTTTATTGGATTTCACCCACTTTCCGATTTCAATAAAACTTAGCAAATAGATGTAATTTCAATAACTTTCTAGAACTTTTTTATAACAAAAAAATGTGTTCAATATAAAGACAGACAGGTCGCCTATATAAGCCTAAGTATTCCTTTGTATGCTTATTATCACTAAAGATACAAGAGACTATATTATTGTATCGCTAGTTCGTAGGACCACGGCAACGGTAATATATTTCCTGTGCAAGTTTGTACATGGCGCTACTATTAGCCGTAGCAAAATGAGGTTCAACAAGACCTGTACCTCCATCATCACTTTACATGGGACTTGTCAAGTTGTGTCTCAGGGTGACAGGTGCACTGGCAGTGCCCCTCAGATCTTTGAGATTTAAAGCTCTGAGTGACACTGCAACTGTTATGGACAGGCGTGTAGCTTACCATCAGGTGCACGACTTGTTCGTCCCGTTCACGTCACTTGGTATTATAAAAAAATCTATGTATTAGAAGATAACGAGGAAATTAAAATTAGCCAAATCCATTTTATATGTATATAGTACCTAATAATGTATGACAAATATATAATAATTATTAAAAAAAATATACATGAAAATTAGCATATAAGAAAAATAGAATGGGTATAATATAATAATTCTGTATATGTAGAAAAAAATGTGACTTACATCACTTTTACGATGACGACCTCAATTAGGTCGCACATTTAACTGAGAATTCGCGCTGCTACTGTTTACTAGTTTGTACGTTACACAATTGACATAAAGTTAATTATGCTATAGTTACAAACATTTCCATTCGTTTCCGCAGTAATGTAAGGGCGCGTTTCCATTTTATCGTGACAAAAGCTGATAGTCGTGCAGTTTAAAGCGTCGTGATCTTTAAACGTAGTTGTTCACACATAATGTAACACGATTAACTGTCGTTCACGACTTTTTTGATGTTACGACGACAGACTGTCGTGCGAATCGGAAGAACTAGAACGACAGTCGTCTGACGATAAATAAAACGTCACGATAAAAATGTGACGACAGAAAACGGTTTTTGTATACAAAATGTTATTTCTTCTTGATCGGGTCATACTTATATAATATTTTGAGTACAGAAAGGTCGAAAATATGATACTAAATCTGTGTAGTTTAAGTCGGTTCTTTGAAAGTATTGTAATAATTATTATAACCAAAAATAATATAACAAAATAAAGACACCTAAAACAACAACCTATTACTACTTACAACCAAGTTATATTATTCGATATGTTGCCAAATTAGTACAGACAATCCAAGTATTTTGTCACAAAGCTTATAAGAACATTATATGAGATGTTTTACTAATCACTATTCTTGTTTGCTTTTTGGAAAGGTAAGAAAAATAATTATAATTAAGTTTAGAAATAGTACAAAGACTTTAATCAAAATCTGTAGGTACTAGTTTGGCAACATATGCCCTTTTCACATATATGCCGTTTCCATTTAACCGTTCCGAGGATAGGTCACTTATGTATAGAACGTAGGAACTTAAACAAAATCGTGGTCATGCCCTAAGTTCTGTTATACATTAGAGAACGGTCGCAATGTGAAAAAGGCTTTAGGAACATCCCAGGCAACAGTACAAAACATCTATTCTTTTGGATTACAGTTAAAAAGGGTCGGTGAAACATAAATTATTTATTACATTATAATATTGTCTAGAGTACCACACCAGATGTTATTTTATTTTAAAATCGTGACTTAATCGTGTATAAATATAATGATATTTTTATATTAATTGATTGAAGGGTCAGTTCCTTCGAGACCATGGACGTTGCAACACGTCCGAAACGTCAAGGTAAATAAAATGATTATATACGATTAGGCCCGGATTTTAAAATCAAATAAGGTCCGTACGGGTAAGTGTGACATATTTTATACGAAGTATAATTTGAACATTAAAATCAAGCCATTTAATGTTGAGTTTTAAACTGTTTCTTAAGGCAATCTTTAATAAGGTTCATAATGGGCTGAAAATAATATGTTTTATTAGATTTAAACATTAATAATTTGTTATAAAGATCTAAAACTGAAAGATCTACTCTAGACACACTTCCCCGACGAACCGGGGCAAGTGTGACTACACTGCTACTGCACGATAGATAACTATTTTTTATTGTAAAATGCAAAGATTATATTACCTAAGTACAACAAAATGATTTGTCACCTATATTACTAACATCTCTCTTTTACAAAGAGCAACCACACTTACCACTTGGCTACACTTACCCATACAGACCTTAATGTGTGAAAATCGTGAAAGTATAAACCAATGACATGGTCTTGAGTTAGGCAATTTTCTGACGTATGCGTGTGGGGCACTACCCAGAACATGCAGACCGTTTCTAAAATTGGCCTACCGGAAATCGAACCCGGGACCATTTCATCCTTATCAAGCGCTCACACATTTTCATTGTTTTTGTGGTAAGAATTCAAATTATAATAACAGTTATTATTTCGTATTTCTAGCTATATGATACTTTTTATAGTAGTAAGTTTAATTTATGTACCTACTTTTAAATTTGCTAATTAGAATACATAGGTAAATCCATTAAACACTGTATCTTACATATGTGTTTAAAATCGCTTCTTCCTCACTAATGTTTTAATGTACGCTAAAGTTTTCCTTTTTTGACATATTTCGGATAATTATCATTATCTTGCCAAAGCCGAATTAGGTACGCAAAATCCTCAATGTGGAATACAGTTCAGCTTGTTAGAAAAAGCTACGTGAACGTAGAGCTTTTCAGATCGATCTATGGACCGTTATTAGAAATAGTAAACTGACGTTTAGTGGGTTGCTAGATTTTAAAATAAAAATATTTGTCATCGAGAAGCCGAAACGTTGGCTGGTTTGAAAAATAAAACCAATATTCACGATTTAGTGCCGAAAAAATAGTTTTATATTCAAAATAAAAATTGTGCTGTAGGACCGATTTCATTGACTCACTCGGTAATTATAATTTTTAAAATTATATATATTTTTTAATAATTCATAGGTATTTATTTTAAAAAGTCGAGAAACTGAAAACAGAAAATAATAGAACTATGTAGAGACTAAATGTAAATGGTTTAGCAGATTAATAGTTAAAAATCGGTAATGTTCATTGATTCTGTTTCAATATTCATTGAGAACTGAACCAAACACATCTTTAATCAATACCCTAAACATGGCAACATTATATTTCAAAATGACGTTAGTAACTGTCAGTTGCATATCTCTAAGTATATCCGATTATAACGCTATTCCGCACGGATATTTTCCTGATCATCCACTGTCAGAGTAATCATTCATCTGTCAAAATTATTTTTCACATGTCAACATTGTTTTCCTTACAATCTACTATTGTCATGAACAGTAGTGCCGTTACTCCTGCCACTTCGAATAGGCAGTTCGTCTTGCGTGAAGGCGCGGTTGTCCAATCCCGTGGGCTTCGCGTGCGGTTCGGGTTCCGTCACTTTCGGTTCCACAGGTCCATCCATGAAGAACATTGTCAGGAAGAACAGGATGCTACCTGGGGATAGCAAAAAAGAAATATTTTTAGTTACACTTGTCCGATCGATTTGAAATTTGGTATTTTTTTTAATATCAAATGCCGGGACGAACAAGTCGTGTCAAGCCTGGTAAGCTACACGTCTGTCCATAACAGTTGCAGTGCCACTTAGAGCTTTAAATCGCAAAGATCTGAAGGGCACTGCCACTGCGCCCGTCACCCTGAAACATAAGTTGTCAAGTCCCATGTGCCTGTAATTTCACCAGTATCGTTACCCTTCTAAACCGGAACACAGTAATGCTAACATTACTGCTTGGCGGCAAAAATAGGTAAGTCAATTAAAAAGTCTCGAAAATGTTTCGTTGGCAATAGCTTTAAAAGGGGATCATGTCAGACATACAACAGCAGGTTCATGGATATTTTCCGTAATTCGCTGTCAAAATTTAAAACTAATATTAAAGCCTTACTATTATTGTTCTACATACATTGATAATATAGTCTTTAAGATTTAAGCTACATTATGAATTAAGGAAACTCTAAATCTGCTTTATTTTCGTTATATTCGTTAATGTAGTAATAGTTTTAAATCGACGGTTTGTTTCTTGAATAAATAAATTTAAAAAAATATGATAATATTACAATAATTATGGTAACTTGGATTTGATGCCGCAATCAGGATAGTTGGTGTAAACTACCCAACTCCTCAACTACCTACATATTTACAGTAGAACTATCGCGTTTGGACTCTCTAACTGGCCTCGACGAAAACTAACAAGTTTACAAATGGTGACTTTATTAACTTTTTGGACACTGCTATTAGTACACTGCTGTATGGTACACTGTTTTGTGAAGGGAGTTTTTAAATAATAATAGTACTTTAAACTGCAAGGAACTTTCAGAATTATTTGGTCGGTGTTAACATTTTAATTTACTATAGAATGCTCACGGTAGTTACTGGAAGGGAGAAAATAATTTCTAGAGAAGTATACAGAGGTCAATAAATATCAACAGACTTCATCGGCATCACAGGATGATAATATCTCAAGGACCAAGGACTTAATAAAGATCTTGAACGTAGCTTAAATGCTAAGTGAAATCTATTAATAGTGTTGGGTCGTTGTAGATATTCAAGTTTATTTTATAATTTACGCTAAATAAATCTTCAAAAGATATTTCTAAGCCTAGAACATAATATGAGCCTTCCAAATTATATTTTTCCAATACTGCGGGATTTTTTCCGGAAAAATATCCTTTATTTGAAATTTTTCGGAAATTTATCCAACGGTATTCATTAATAATCAGACAGTTTTACAACTCTCAATGTTGCGTAATGAATGAGTATTCACTCATTGATATTTATAAATAAATAGTTGATTTAAAGAAATCCTTAATGTCGATCTTGTTATCAATGAGTATTCTTCGTTGTGCACTCAACCGATTTTTATTAATAGACAGTTACAAATGCCTTAAACAATATCTTGATGTCAATCTGCAGATGGGTATTCAAGAGGTATTCGTTGACGTGCAGTCAATTGGTATTTATTGATAGACAGTTGAATTGAAGATCTTAATGTCGATCTTGCAGATGAGTATTCGTTGACATGGACTCAAATGATATTAAATGAACTAAGAAGAGTCTTAACATAGATCTCGCACTTGAAATGGGTTTATTAATACCTGAGCGTAGGTACCAGTTTGTGGTTGACATTCGAGTACTATTATTCCTTATCTTATATTACACCGATAAGTTGATCGGTTCGCTGTAGTATTATTGTAAAGGCGCGTTCCCATTATGTTGTTTATGTTGTGACGACAGATAGTCGTGCAGTTTAAAGTGTCGTGGCTTGTATGTTTAAATGAAGTTGTTCACACATAGAACAACACGATTAACTGTCGTTCACGACTTGTTTAACGTTACGACGACAGACGGTCGTGACATTGGGAAGAGCTAGAACGATAGTCGGCAGACGATACGTTTAATATAATAATAGAATGTCACGATAAAAATGTGACAACAGATAATCGCAGCTTCAAACGATTCTGTCGTACAAACGACAAGGCGGCTGCCGTGAACCCATAAATTGTCGTCACGATCTAGTGGAAACAGGTAGACACGACAGTCGCTCAACGATGAAATAAACGTCCACGACGCAGCCGCGACAGATAGTCGTGATATGGAAAGAAGCTAGACGCGACAGTCGTCCAACTATAAATATAACTTTACGACATAATGGGAACATGACGCATTGCACATCTATTCGTTTTCTTTTATAGAAGAAGCTGTAATAAACATAGATGTGTAGGATACTTACTAATGCCATAAAACCCAGCATAAAAGATCATAATAGCCTCACGATACCCAATGGCCTTCGAGACAGGGTCTACCAGAATCGGCAGGTTTCCTCCGACGTTATTCATGACGAACAAAAAGACGCCAACGGTTGTCGAACGCACTGATAGTGGTACGATCTCTACGAGGATCGCGAATACTATGCCGAACCACATTTCAGCTGAAAAAAATGAACAAATAATTATTTTTCATCATTAATAGATCACGTGAAAAATAATTTTCTTTTGGATTTCTTTGGGGAGTCAATAAATTTTTTTGCGAAGAAAATTCGCTGTTTTTCGAGAATAGTAGCCCAATCCAAAACTGATTATTTTTGATTCATTACTGAAATTGATTCAGAAAAGCTTTTCATAGGTTACAACAATCACATGTCAACATTGGGATGACCAACGATTCATCAATTTTAGACGGCCAACGCTTCTCTGATGACAACTATTTTAGAAAACCATCGAGCTGTATTTTCGCAAACATTGTTTGGTAACCGTTAAACTCTTAGTTTAATACCGCGTTATGTTTAAAAAAATTTTATCTAAGTAACGAAAATTAAAACTTAACTCTATCGAGAAAGAATAAAATAAAAAGCGCCGGTTTGGCGAAAAGTCCCTGGTTCGAATCCAGCCGAATAGAAGAACTTCTTCTGTATGTTTGTTCGATCGTTGTATCAATATAATAACAATAAACTTGTATAATATTCCGACCGATAATATAGACCGGATCGAAGGAATTTTTTCTGAGTGTTCGATCTTTGTATTAATAATTATAACAAACTAGTGGAGCAATTTCACAAAAAATAATTGAATATCAATTCAATAAAAATTTATTTGTATAATATTTTCACAAAAAAATAAATGAGTGTCATAGTAGTAAAAACATTATGATATTCAATGAAATAAATATTTCACGAATAAAAAGGATTTTTTAGGAGGTGACAGGACTAAGGTACACTACTAATACTCCCCCACTTACCTGACTGAAATTACTTTAAAAAATACCTACTATAATATTTGTGCCGATAAAAGAAAGTTGCATTTTTTGTAAACCTCAAAGTTATTTGCAATACTTTTTTCGACGCATTCCTAATTCTTATTTTTCGAGGTGGAAATAACAAAACAACATAGTGAATAAAAGGCAACTTACCAAAGAAATAGGAAATAGCGAGAGTTATCATGGCCCAGAGTGGTCCAAACACGACTGATCCAAATGCTGGCAGGGTGGCAATGAATTGAGACACGGCAAGAACTAGCACACGTGATCGTATACCCATTTTTGATACGAACCTGTGGAAATAAACATCATTAAATACTGCCACTATCACCATTTTTGGCTGAACGAAAGGAGCCTTACAGCAATGACACTCTATTCATCTTTCCTGACGTAACATCGGCGTGCACATTTCACCGATTGTCAAGTTCATAAATAAAGTGTCAAGTATAAACTCGGCAGTGTAACACTTGTAAGTCTTTGTTATTAGGTAAGTAATATTTAATAATTATTGTACATCGATAACTTATAATTATTGTTAATAAATTATTATGTTATATTAATAATCACATTTATTTTCCATTTTTTTTTCAATCCTTGCATATTTGCGTACGATAATATTATAATATCAGTACAGAGTACTAAAAAAACCGACCTCAAAAGTACGTGGAATTACATATAATTACCAAGTTTTATTGAAATCGGTTACCGGAAAGTGCGCAAACCCGGATTCATCCCCTAGTTCGCCACTATACGTGACTTGAGGAGATAATAAAAATCGGTTTTCACTACTCAAAGTATATTGAGAGAAAAACGCCTTGAATTGGAGAATAGCAAAACCAACCATTAAAATAATTGCTCCTTGTAATAAAATTTAGGCGCTATTTATAAAAATTATCTTCATGCGTGAACAGCCACCCTTAGAGGTGGATGATTTTCTTCAAAAGTAAATGGGATCACTATGTAGGTACCCTCTTTCCAACAAAAAAAAATAATCATGAAAATCGGTTCACAATTACCGGATTTATCGCGTAGTAGCATACATACAAAAAACATACAGTCGAATTGAGAATCTCCTCCTTTTTTTAAGTCGGTTAAAAACAATCATAATGCAACGTGTGCACTATTGCCAAAATTCATTTAATGAAATCGTAATATGGTCGCCATAGGACAGGTTTTGCCTAGTGTGGGACCAACTGCAACCTTGCACAGTGCTCCCAGGCTTGACATCACGTTTGCAATATATATGTTAAAATATAACGTCAATTTAGCATAAGCTTACTTGTTATATTATTATTTGGAAATCTTGTCATATTGCTCTCGGTACTTGTGATGTTAAATAAACGTATTATTATTATTAAGATAGCGCAAGTGCACGGGCGGCGGTACCGCCGAACATCAAAGGCTTTACGCTACTTTATGGAATATATCAAAATACTGTGACGTCAATTCTCGCATCGCATACAGATTTTTACGATGTCTTTTGCAAAGAAGTACTCTTGATAAACACTTGTTCCAGAATTGGGAATTAATCGTGTATAAAACGTATTTTATTTACCTCGTGTTGCCAACATCCATAGTCTCGAAAGTACATACTACTACACTAGCTAGTCCCTTCGAGACCATGGACGTTGCAACGTTGTTGTTTTTTATGACATCAAGCGACGGGATGAACAAGTCGTGCGCCTGGTGGTTGCATAAAAGTTACAGTGCCACTCAGAGCTTTAAATTGCAAAGATCTGAGGTGTACTGTACTAACAGTACACCGTTCGTCACCCTGAGATATGAGTTGACACTTACTATGTGCCTGTAACTTCATCAGCACCTTCGAGACCGGAACGCAGTAATGCTCACGTTACTGCTTGGCGGCAGAAATAGGTAAGGTGGCACTACTTCCCAGTATTCTTTCATAAGAAACTCTACTTCTACTAAACTTTTGAACACAAGTCTAAATAAACATTATTATTATTTATCTTTTTTCTTTTATTTTCTCTATGTTATTATTTAATAAGAAGAAATATTTGACCATAACTGCATCTGTGTGGAGAATGTTTATCTAAAACTTTAATTCGCTTTCCCATTGCCAAGGTCTATGTCATAAACATATATCTTGCTATACTATACATGATCCTTTACTACTTACTTGTCAGAAATAACTCCTCCGACGACTACGCCGATAGATCCAATGCCAACGGTGACGGCGAATAACCACCAGCCCAGGTCCACATCGGGGAAGTAGTCTCGGTAATACAAGTCTGCATTGTACGCGAAGCACATACCGCCTGCAAATCAAAGTAGGATGTAAGATTTTCTACTTACTTACGAACAACAGCTACATTGAAACTTAAACTTAGGTGACATAAGTTTAAAAAATTAAGTGTGGTATAGTACTCGTAACTGGCTAACAGTCAGACGTACTTAGATACGGAATAAAGGCCACGTTAAGCATAATATAGATTAAAATCGAACCTTTTTTTATAATATCAAGTGACGGAACGAACAAGTCGTGCGCCTGGTGGTAAGCTACACGCCTGTCCATAATAGTTGCAGAGTCACTCAGAGCTTAAAATCGCAAAGATCTGAGGAGCACTGCCACTGCGCCCGTCACCCTGCGACATAAGTCGACAAATCCCATGTGCTTTTGACCCTGTACCACTTTCCATCGGGTAGACAGTCGGACTGTTTTGAAATACATTAGAAAAATAATCTATAAACGCGAATATTTCTTGAAGTTAATGCTCTGCTAAACAGCCTAAAACTTCCTCATCGCAACGTTTCCACCTCCTTTGATGTTTATTATAAAAAAAAGAACGGTCCGATTCTAATTATGGAACTGAGATACCTCAAATAGAATCAGTGTTCATTGATTTATCACAAATTCGCCAATTTCCTACTCGTTCAATTGTTTTTTTCGACTTTCATTGTTGCCGGAATAATTGTGGACTTGTTTGTTGTATCAATTAGTGCAGTATAAAATATGCCATTACTTGGTTGGTTATATTTGTAGATATATCTAACTTTTGCTGTAGATCATTGTTTTTTTTTTATTAAATAATCTACAGTTATTTGTTTTTTACGTTTATTAACTCTGTAATAAAAATAGAAAACAAAGTTTATTGACTTTGCTTTTTTAAATAAACTTTTATTTCAGAAATTGTTCATATTATGTTATTTAAATCTTACAGCTTATTTTATTAAGGATGTTGTCATATAGCTGGAAAAATAAAAGTCTCCAGTTCAGGTATTTTAAACATTAAATGTTTGCAAAATGTAATCTAAATTTTAAAAAAAATTCCAATTATAGTTTTACTTCTTTTTTTTAAATTTTACTATATATTCCTACCTTGATGGGTTTTATACTTCCTTATAATAGCTTTTCAAGAATAGATAACAAAAACTGTGGCAGGCTTTTGTTTATTCATGATTGAACAAAAACAAAATGCAATATTGGCATGTTAACGACTGATATCGGAAACAAACTATACAGACTATACTTATCTAATATAAGCAAAATTCCACCGGGGCTGGGTTAATTTTTGTATGGGTTCTGACATGACCCTTCTTCAGTAATCTCATTTTCACAAATATTATTAAGTTTCAGACTGTCAGCGCAATAGTGGTGTAACCCACGTTTTTTTTTCTTCGATATTCCTTGAATGTTACTAAAGTATTCATGTTTTATATTTGCTATTGGATTAGTGTGCTATGCTATCGTGGATTTCGTGATAGAAGAAAAAGAAACACGTTGTTAGTGTAGTGTACAATCCTGCAAATGACTTTAATAAGAATGAAGCAAATGAGCGTCTCCCTTGCGCCCGCACCCGTACTAAGTGACCGGGTTGTCAGATGCGCGACTGTGTATGATTTCGATATTCGACTTGGTAGTAATTACTAATCCTTTCATTCGAATGACAAATTAGTAACCTAGTAATGTTCGTATTCGAATGATCTCAATGATCATTCATTACTAATTAGTGTATTAATAATCCGTAGATTCCATAGAGCATTTCTGCCTAGCCCTCCCTGACATAAATACGGAAGAAAAAAAACAATGGAAGAGCCTTAAGTCTCGATTACCTACTATCGGAACCGCTGGCGCCAAACCGCACACAAACAAATAATAAACACTACGAAATCTTGATTATGATTGGTGGAATGATGAAAAAAATGTAACAAATTCTGGATTGTTAATATAATTTAAACTTTACCCAGTCGCTATATCGTTGGAAGTTCAACCTTTATTGCAAGTTACGACGTTTTGATTATAGATTAAAATTTTATTCAACGTGTTGCCATCTTGCGGTCAGTAGCTGGACTACGACGAACAATTATCATAATGAATCAATTCGATAAACAGAAAATTGAAAATTTGTTAAAATAAGGGTTACTGATGATATGAAATACTACTACGGACACCAGCCCGTTACACCAAGTACCAAGTAGTACTACTACGAGTAATATTTTTGGTGCGGCTATAATTTTTGCACTCCAAAACAGCACAATAAAGCATTTTGTAGAAGTCTGGAGAATTTGCACGAAAGAATGACACAACCATACCATACAAAGCGAAAATGGTGGACTGAGCTCATGAAGGTCTTTCGAGACCTAATGTTAGCACCAAAAACCACTTCTACTGTATTCTTGATGTTCATTCATCATACGACTCGAGTGGAATGATTGGTGCTTTCTACTTAGGCGAATGATTTGCACATTCGAATGATTAGTAATAGTAACATTCAAAGTCGAGCATTTCTAGTCACGGCTTTGGCGCGCAGTTTTCATTAAGTCACCGCCGCGGAAGCGCACGATTAAGTCCCTCGGACTGGTTCGAAACATGTCTAGCAAAAATTCGACTTAAACACATGAGTTATCCGTTAGTTGAGTTAATATATCGGAGTCTCACGGTACTTTTCTATTTAAAAAAGAAAGAAAATAATAATTAATGCACTTACCGCAATGCCTGATAGAAGCAGCAACACACAGCAATATGATTCTGGGCTGGATAATTACGTGCCAGATGGTGACTTGGGGTATTTTCTTTCCCGCCTCCATTGCTGAGTCGGCTGTTTTTGTGCCAGCACCTAAAAATATCGATATTTTAGAAAAAAAGCTTTTTTCGCATAAAGAATATCGTATCGTATGCCCTTATATAAAAAAATCTATTCATTCATTTGGAATTAATAAAACGTCATCTTATACATATCATTTGGTTAACGTACCTTCTTCTCCAATTGTGGTTCTTTCAGGTTCTCGTAAAGTCAGGAAAGTCAAAACTGCAATCACCAGACCGACTACTCCCGCAGCGTAGTAACAAAGACGCCAGCTCTATACGAACAATAAAAATTGGTGAAAAAACCTTGGCATTACAACATCGCACCCTTAGTGTAATAAGGCCACATCTGCAAAATGACAACATTTCAGTTTTTTGCGAACAGAATATTGTTATGCTTGCTCATTTTATTAAAAGAGCCCTGTCGAAAAGTTATGTATCTCAGAAACATAATGCAAACAAATCACTTCAAAAGTCCTTGTGGATAGTTGTTAGTGATTTTTTGTTTAGGGATGCACTTAGTGATTTTTCCAAAAAACATAAAAATTTTAATAACGTTTGAACCGTAATTTTCTGAACCACAATGTAATTCTCAAATCATTTAGAAATACTCAACCCGACCTCCTCATTTCGCTTTGACCATCACTTCTGGGCCACCCTGTATACAAAATTTGTTTCATGTAGTTCATATTATTTTCATGACTTTCATGTGATAAAAGCACTAATGACGTATGATCACAAAATGGTTTTGTCATACCAACAATGGTAACACCGCAAATGAAATAAATTCCTTGAATTTCATATTAGATGCATGTATAGGTAGTCTTTATTTCCTATAAACAGCAGACGACTGCCGTGGATATGAATTACGTACAATTGTCATATATTGTAAAAAGTACAACATAAGTAAGCACCACAATTAGATAATTTATTTAGTTAGCGTTCTATATTGACGCATAACGGAGAGGCCACACCGCGAGCGAAACAAAGCTAAGCTTTCTAAGCTCACGTAGCCGCGGCATATTTTAATACGTCTGCTCATACCGTGAAGTAAACTAACTGACCTAACTACCCAACGATCCCGCTAAGCTAAGTAAACTCTGTCGTCCTTCACCCCAGCACGTGTCTGTAGTGTTGTCATTGTCATAGTATAGTTGCTCGCGCACAGCTGCATGGATCACATGCAAGTCGTTATGGAAGAATTTGTATGAGTCAGTCATCATTGCTCTTTGAACTTTCATTATCAATAATACTTATTTTCATAATACTAAATTGCAGTATGCATGCCACGAATCAGTGTTTACTTAGCTTAGTTTTGCATGCAGCTATGTGAGCTAAGGCAACTTAGCTCGCAGTGTGTTCTCTCCTTAATGATGATATTTTGTTACAAGTAGGGGTATAAAATACAATAGGTATATGAACAATATTGCGATAATAAAATACAATAGGTATATGAACAATATTGCGATAAATTGCTAACAAAACTTACCAAGCCCCAAGCATTCAATTCAGGAACATATCGTCCAACAGGGAAGGCAATTCCATATCCACCGTATATGCCCCAATTGAAGATCGACAATACCAACGCTCTTTGATGTTCAGGGAACAGATCCGTAAGTATTCCTGTTGCCAATGGATTGCAGCCGCTCTCCCCTGCCGCCATGATCATACGCAATAAGACGAGGTGCCAATATTCTGTGACTGATCCCATGAGGATGATGGCAATTACGAACACTACAGTGCAGATGGAAAGAATTCGTGCCCTGTTGTACCTGGTAAAAAAATTGCAATTTAAGAAGCAGTTGAGGCTCAAAAGGCGCATTGTTGCGTTTGTATCAATTCAAACGCGTGTTCGAAGCTCTTCTACGCCGCGTTTTAAGCGCGTTTGAATCGATTCAACAACAACAACTTTATTTTCTTTCCTAAGCCTTGCAATGTTGTTGCAAAGGAAAAGGGCAGAGAAAGTGCTACACGCGTCATCTGTATTGCCTGTGCGCAGATAGTTTAATCAATGTAAAGATTTCAAGTGTAATTTATTTACATACGAAATAAAGATTATTTTCACACTCACAGCCCTGCACTAGAGAAGCCCTGTATGGCGGGTGCTGTGGACACACGCAAAGCCACAAATGACACCCAAACTCACGAGAGAAATAAATGTAGATCATATAAATATTTCTCCCGACCCAGGAGTCGAACCCGGGACCTCTGCGTGGCAGTCAAGCAAGATAACAGTTCGGCCAAGGAGGCAGTTAAAATTTGAGTTTGCTTGCGACAAGAACGATCCAAAATGTAAACATAGTATAGACAAGTAAGGCAAGTTCCGCCTGTTCGGCGCGTAAATGCCTATACTTCCCTCGTAGCTCAGGGTTGTCACATTATAATTTTAGTATTTGCAGGTTGTAAACATAATTTGAAAAAATAAGTTTTTCATCACAGTATTCTCGTGTTATATTGAAATAACCTTTGTTAAATGCAGTAGGTACTTATTTATTGATATTTTTATACCAGCGTTGCAGTTTAGTATCTCGATTATGGAGTATGATTATGAAACCGAAATAAAATAATGAACAATTCTGAATTTGAGGCACTCTTGCTCTAACTACTACAAACACAACAATAAACACGTCTAGTATTTGATGTTATTTTTTAAACATCGAGCGAACGATTCAATTGTATAATTAATTGCATATGGGATAGCCCGCTTTATGCAACGCGAATGCACCGCGAAATTATAGGAATGTGTGCGTCCATACACGGCGCGCGGAGGGCGTTCACACATACAAGTCGCGCTGCTACGTTTGTCTGGAGCTACCATACTTGTCTTGTTGCACTATGTTTATGACGCCTCTACATTTGTAAACTGCTGCCGTAAACCGATAAATTGTCGTTACGATCTAGTGAGAACAGCTAGAAGCGACAGTCGTTCAACGATAAATAAAACGTTACATAATGGGAATGTGCCCTAATTTGTAATAAAGAAAACTTACTTATCAGCTACGACTCCAAGTATAACCCCCACAACCGTAAACACAGCCATAAAAGCAGGTCCAGCCAGAATCTGGTAGTCTATACCCAGGCCATTGTAGCCCCATTCACAGTATCTTGTTCCATTCAGCTCCAACGTTTCGCATCTGGAATTAAAATAATGGTAATGTATTTGTTAATAAGGTTGTTCTTAAAAAATCGTTTAATTACTATAAAACGATTATTGTGCCCTTACTTTTTATTATTTTCATCAGAACATTCGGCCGTTTTTTTTAATAATATAATAATAATAATATTTTTTATTTCTCCACAAAATACAACAACAAATAAGAAGTACATAAACAATCTTAGTAATTTCAGAACAGTATTTTGTAGGAGCTGGTGCTTGCTATAGGCTTAACACCTGTGCTACAAGTCACCAGGCCCCAACCCTTGCAAATGAAACATATGTTACTAAATATACATATACCACATTTACAAAGAAATGGTTCACCAAATCAATCGAATTTTGAGGTGAACTTCCTACTTGCAAAAGTAAATCAGCTATGTTTTTAGGTTTGTTTACATTGGCAACTTTACCAATGGTTTCCCACAGTCGCCTTCCAACTCTGCCAGCCTTTTTAATTTCTTCCCTTTCGAACTCTTTTTTTGCGTTTTATATGCGAGTGTTACAAAAATTGCGATATCTCTTATAAAAGAGTTTGAGAATTACATCATTGGGATGTTTTTTTAGTTTCCTATACAAATTGTCTCTATGCCTCATGCATTTTATTGATCCCGGGGTAATCCAAGGCTTCAGCGCTCTCCGCCTATGAGATACGTAATAGGATTTAGTGCATCTTTTAATGGCCAGACGAATAGGAAGAATCAAATATCGAGTAGCAATGTTTACATCATTGTGGATGGATGTGGACAGTGGAATATACTGTGTCAAAATCTATTTCATTGATGGCTTCATCTAGTACAATAAAGTCGATCCTGGAAATTTTGCGATATGGAATTCGACTATTTGTTTCGACAGAGAGTAGGGCAGCGTAGTGGTCTGTAATTGTTGTACCTAAGACTAGCGTTGTGGCTGCAACAGAGGTTCTCAATATAGTGTGGTTAATGCAAGTCCCGCTATCTTCTCGTGTAGTGAAAAAGTAACTGGGGTATAAGTAATAATGAGCTATGAGGTCCTGGTAATCAAGAGAGGTGGTGTCAAATTTATTTGGTTCTGATATCGATATTTATATCTGCTATAAATGGCTACAGTTACAAAAGCTGACAAACTACCAAGAACATCCCCTAGTAAAAATAGAAAGTTGTCAATGCTAACAAAATTGGGTGGTCTGTATATGGCTACCACAGTTAGTTGTGTACCAAATTTTATTAGCAGACAGTTAAAATCAGACACAGTTGGCTCCTCTACAGTAACATGTTAGCGTTTATGCTACGGATATTTTGGGAGAGAAAATTGAGCTTTTTAGAACCAGGTGTAATTAGTGTTGAACATTCTTCAGGTTTACAGAAATAAGATTCAAATATGGAAGTGCGGTCGATATTAGTTAATAGATTATTTGTGCAAGTAATTTTTTTAAAAGGTAATGAAAATATCAAAAACAGTTTGTACATATTTAAGGCAAAGATTGAAGTCCAACAGGCGAATCGACAAAAAGAAGTCATACAAGTGGCAGTTCATACGACTATTAGACGTTACTGTAAAATCGAAGTATATATAGCAGTAAGGGTGTGGTGGGTGTGAGTAATATGCGTGTTTGGCGTGTAATATGTGTAAGAGTGTAAGTAGTATGTATATAAAAGACACAACATTGACATTTACGTTAAAAAATAATTCCTACAAGATTACAAAAAATGAGCAGGGAAATAATAAGCATGCAAATATCAAGATGAATACAATGAGATAAATTAACTTAATATTTTATTTAGTTCATTGAAATATGAAGCGAGCCTCCAGGTACACAACGCGAAAGTTTTCACGCGGCTGCCGCGCGGCCACCGCCCAGTTACCACGCTTTCACGTATGTACATTAATGGCGAATCTGAATTATTTTTACTAGGCAGTAAAAAAATTTAAATTCCTCTGAATAATACAATTGCGCGGTTGCAGCGCGTTCACCGCGTAAACCAAAGACAAGCCAACCTCGCCCGCGCGCCCGGTACGCTCATTTAAGCATCCCGGTACGAGCGCTATGAAATTCGTGTCGAATATGCGCCCTCGCTTCCATCCAATATACCTTTGGCGAACGGCTATGTAGTGGAATACCTTGCCTCCGGACATATTTCCTGACCCTATAACTAGGTTCTTTTCAAGGAGAGAGTGAATGGACATTATTTAGGTGTACATGCTCCATCGTCGACCTCATCGTCACTTTCTATGACCTCCAACTCACCTAGAGTTTGAGTCCTGACGGGTCTAAGGATTTTTTCTTTGTCTTCGATCTTTGTATTTAAGAATTAGGTATAAGTTAAAGATATCTTGATATCTTTTCCCTTTGTATAATCATTAACAGGTTAGATAAGTAATATAGTAATGTTATAATATAATAATTAAACACAACCGGTGTAAACAAAAACTAATATTGCTAATGACAAATTACGAGTAGGTTAAAAATATAACATTTTTTGTTCCGAACTTTTTGTGGCATTGTCTTCATCACTTCCGCGTTCAAGTTACAAGAACTGTATAGACGTGAAATTACCTAGCCTTTGTCAGTTATATGTATAACTATGTATACATGATCACAGAACTAAAAAGAATAGAACGGTAAAAAGTTATTCAAATCACTACGCGACATTTTAGCAAAGTAACACAGTTTTTACGTATTTACTTCTACAAATACACACATCGGCACAATTAGCGGAACCAATAGAGTAAGAATATAAAAAAGCAACGTTTCTATTTAAATAAATAAGACGTAGACATAAAGTAGAAATTAAAATCTTTTAACATCGACTTAGTACAGCCTCACTCAACCTTTATTCAAAAAATTAAAATGAGACAAGTTTTTTTTACACTTTGTGACAAAGTAGAAACTACTGAAAATTTAAAAATTGTCACAGTTTGACATTGATTACATATCAGATATGCGCCCGTATGTCATTGTAATATGAGGAATAAGTAATACTTGCTTACGAATACAGATATATGTCAACTTGTTTAGGGCTGGTTTTGGACATCTGTTAAATTTTCTTAATAATTTTAAATTTTTATTGAATTGATATTCAATTAGAAGTTCTGTATCTCAACGTGTAGTGCCTTACCCCTTAGCAATGTGTCGACCTCGGTGGCCTGAAGGTTTACATAGTAAGTGCTGGATGCGGAGGTCCCGGTAGGACCGATTTGAAAAACGAACTTTTCTAAATTATTTATAATCTGGATGTTCTGGGAAGTGTCCCAGAGTGAATTCCGTTACTCTGGTATAGCTGGCGAAATATTATTTGCACCGATTAGAGTAGAAGTAGTAATGCTTATATTAATGCTTGGTGGCAGAAATAAGTAAGGTGCTAGAACTTCCCTTGGAAAACTTTTTGATAAGGAGCTCTATTGCTACCAAAACACAATTTAAATACAAATGTTACTATTTTAGAATATTCCTTTCTATTTTGTTATCCCGCAAAATGCGGTGAGTGTGTTAATACAAGCGACTGTATAACACTAGTTAATGCAAATACGCTTTATTGCACTCAATAAAATACACCGACAAACGAAGGACAACGTATAACTGGTAGCAAAATGTCCAAGGTGACCATGTTAAACAATCTTTTCAATAATTGTACCAGAGAACTATGCTAACTACCTGGTGTCTATAAAACCTTCTTGATTTTAAGTTTACGGTAATGAACACCGCCAGTAACGACCTGAGGTCCGCAACTTGACGACGTCTAGGCATTATTTATTATTTTGCTTGTAGTTAAGCGTATGATAATATCACAACCTTGATATAATAAAGTCACATCGTCAAAATGAGAACTTTTCAGGAGAGCGTTTTAAAGATTCCACGCATGTAATCTTATCTATTTCATTTCAAATTTTCTATTCTTTTTTATTCTTAAATAGGACAATTATATAATTTCACATTATACATAATTTGTTTTATAAAGTTTGTATTATTTTTATGACTTTGAAGTAATAAAAGCTCTTGTTGTTTTAGTATTAAGTATTAGATTAAAGTGTGTAAGTTTTCTAAATAGGTTCACCTCTGGGTGTGACTTAAAAAATATAGGTTTATTTAGTGAAAAAAAGAAGTAACTTATTTCTTTCTTTCTTCTTTTGACGTATATCATATATCTGTCATTCTGTCCTGTTAATATATTTTTTTCAGTGTATATTACCTATACTTATTAAAATCATTACACTCAGACCAGGACCGTTTGGAAAACTTCCCTTCGACGTTGATTCTACCAGAAATAAAATCTTTATCTAACGTACACAGTTTCAGTGGCTTTAGTACAATTTCGTACATGGAACCAAATACTGGTGTAACTCAAAATTGGTAGAGTTTTTTTAAAATATAATATCAAGTGACGGCACGAACAAGTCGTGCGCCTGATGGTAAGGTACACGCCTGTCCATAACAATTGCAGTGCCACTCAGAGCTTTAAATCGCCAAGATCTGAGGAGTAGATCCGTAGAGGAGTGAGGGTGACATAAGTTGACAAGTCCCTGAGACATAAGTTGACAAGTCCCATGTGCCTATAATTTCACCAGCACCCTTACCTTTCAAAACCGGAACACAGTAATACCTACTGGTATTACTGCTTGGCAGCAGAAATAAAGGATTGAGAAAACACGATTTGAGAGTTCAGAAATTACTGAATGGGGCCAATAAATTTATATTAACATCTATAAGTGGAAAAATAATAAATATTATGCATATATACAATACGATCAATTGGGTATTCTTTTTGAACTTTCGAATCGTGTTTCCTCAATTCCATAATTTTTGAGTTACAACAAAATTTGGTTGCATGTACGATATGTAAAATATAATATTATTTAGAAATGAAACTATTTTTCTGGATTTAAATCGCGTTTACTTGTTTTTTCAAACAAACCGACTTTTCGGGCCCTTTATAGGTTCCATTGTCACGATAGACTGAGGTGGTACAGTCATCAACCAGTTATAACAAACAACTCTATTTT